TATGGTCATAAAATCCTAACCTGGCACAGGGTCTAAGGGCACTTGAGCTATAGGGGAATTAGGGTTTTTAGGATTCAGGTTTAGGGAATTAGGGTTTAGGGAATTAGGGATTAGGGTTTTTAGGGTTTAGGGTTTTTAGGGTTCAGGGTTGAGGGTTTTTAGGGTTCAGGGTTGAGGGGTTAGGGTCTAAACTCCTTGAATATAGGCGACTGATAGGGAGGGGGTACTAAGGGGAATACCAGGAGTTTTCAGTATAGCTCACGTGGGGTATAGGGATTGGGCTTTGGGGTTGAAGGTTTAGGGATTTAGGGATTTAGGGCTTAGGGATTTCCGATGTAGGGATTTAGGGTTTACGGTAGTTAAGCTTTAGGGTTAAGGGTTGAGGGACGGGTTTATTGTTTGGGGTTTGGGTTTAGGGGGATTCAGGGTTTAGGGACTTTAAGCTTTCAGGTTACCGGTTGGGGGTAGGGTTCAGGGTTCTGGCCAAACCAACATGATGTCAAGAACGGGGCCTTGTCAGGAGTCCTTGCGGCATACGCCCACAAAACCAACATGGCACCCGGAAAGGAGCCCTATGAAAAGACTACGGTCCTTGCGGTTTAGGGTTCCGGGATTCGCACCCAGGTGTCGTTGTTGGTTTCTTTACTCTTTGTCTATAGCCTTTTCAGATCATGAGCTGCTAATGATAGCAAACCTCCACGGCAACCTTAGCCAAAAGACACCAATAGGTATCCCACTTCGCAAAATTCAGTGCATTCTCTACACTAGACTGTAGGAGAACATCTCACGACAAGCAGCAAGCCATACGCCATCAGACAAAGTGTCGGAAACAGATTGCTCCTCAAGGCCAGAGGCCATCAGCGAGCTGGGATTAGATTTTGTCATCATGGACAATCCTCAACCTCGCTGTGTAGGTAAAGATATGCGCTCAGCCCACTACTCTTTAACTTCGACCTCAACATCTGAATTCAGAAGAGGTGTAGCATATTCTGATCTCATCATGAGCGCAGCAACACAAGCAAGAACCTTGATGACAAAACGCAAACACCAGTCAAAGACATGTCGTTCCAAAACCAGTAGCAAGCCA